TAATAATTAGAGCTCTAATAAATTCCTTTCATTTGTTTTTCTATATACTATTAACTCTATTACAATGTACTGATGTAGTATATGTTCATAACTACTTTTTCAATTTACTGAAACACGGAGAGTCAATAGCACATCCTATTCCATTCATTTCTTAGAACAACAAGTATTATTTTCTTTAGCATATTTCACACAAGTTTTTAAAATTGAGATGTTGAAACTTTATATTTATTAGTTTCTAATTTACTACCAAAAATAAATAAATAACCAATGAAGTACTAAATTTCAAACATTAATTAACTCCCAGAATATGTCATCACTGTCAAGTCATGCCTACTAAGTACTAAAGTATTCCATATCAAATTTACTACGAAATTGTTAAATTTAAAAGAGTTAATTCCCAAAATAGTTATCCGACGGTGAACTTTTCTCAAATTAGTCCCTTGACTTTTAATTTCTTCAAAGTGGTCCTCCGACTTTTGAATTTTAAGTCAAAATGGTTCCCCGTTAGCTTTGGTGTTAAAATGAAGGGTAAAATTAGAAATTTAGATTTTGCAATCCAATTTAAAGCAATATGTTATTCCTTTCAGCAGTCTGCCCACATATTTCTTCAAATTAGGTTTTTACTCTCCTAAACCTGCAATCAAAATGTGGGATAATCAACTAGAAGGCCATAAATCTTTACATTGGGAATTTTGTGGATGAAGTTGAAGATGAACTTTTTTTGTCTTCTAGTTGATTATTCCACATTTTGATTGCAGATTTAGGAGAACAAAAATCTAATTTGAAGAAATATGTGCGCAGATTGCTGAAAGGAATCACAAATTATTTTAAATTGGAGTGCAAAACCTAAATTTTTAGTTTTACCATTCATTTTAACACCAACTTAAAGCCAGAGCTAATAGATGACCATTTTGACTTAAAATTCAAAATTTCAACCACTTTAAAAAAAATTATAAATCAAGAAACTAATTTATAAAGTTGTCATAGTCGAAGGACCATTTTGGGAATTAACTCAATTTAAAAAGCTTAGCTAAAATTATTTAAAAATTAAAATTTAAAATTTGGAGAAATTCTATTTTTACGTAATGCTACCACATAAATCATTGATTTGCTTATATGTGGTCAAAATGTCAATTTGTCTCTGTTGTGATAATCTTGATTTCTTTATTATTATTTTGGATCACCAAGAAGCTAATGGGACACTATAAGAATTGCGACTACCACTATATCTTCATGCACTCTTCTGTTGATGGGAACCCCTCCATGCAACATCTTTTTTTTTTGAAACAAACAAGAACTTCATTATTGATTGAAAAAACGCGCGATACAAGCTGGTGGGACACCCGTCCACACCCCCGAGGCAGCTAAAGAACCAGTTGCCCGAGCAAGCTCATGAGCCACATAGTTCGCTGATCTCCTAACATGGGAAACACTAACATTCTCTATGTCTCTAGCAATCGACACACATTGCTTAACGACTAAACCAACATACGATAAATCAAAGGAACAGGAATTAAAAGCATTACAAAAGTTCAAACAATCAGATTCAACTATAATACTACTATACTGCTGCTCTTTAAGCCAAGTCAAAGCCTCCTTAATACCAAAAGCTTCAGCCATGTAGGAATCCACCACACCCTCAATACGAACGCTTTTCGCCGCCACAAAAGCGCCGGAGTGATCACGCACCACAGCGCCCACACTAGCCCCCTCACTAGAAAACGCTGCATCAACGTTGCATTTCACTGTGTGTTGCGAAGGTGGGTGCCATGAAGCAGCCTGACGTGTCGGACATTCTGGAACAGCATAGGCCTCTTCCCAGCTTCTCTGCAGTCGTGTCATCTGCTCCCGGGCACGCATCGTATCCGGAATTTTGTTGTGCCAGATAACATCGTTCCGCCATGTCCAGACCGTCCAAAATACAGCCGCTAGCGTTACCGCCTTCTCCTTAGTTGTATTGCCAATCATAAAGTTAAGGAAATTTGTAAACTCACGCCCTTGCAATACGTTCGTACATCCCCAAATTGCTCCCGCAAACGCACACCCGCAAAATAAATGTTCCACCGTTTCCGACTCATATCCACACATCAGACATCCCCCACCAATCCATACCCTCTTGGAGCGCAAATTATCACGGACAGGCAACACATTACGGGCACACCGCCATAGCAAGTTTTTCACCTTTGGCGGAATCGGCATAGCCCACAATGCTTTCCAAGCCTCAAACCCGCTATCCACTCCCTGCGTGCCGGCATCCCCTATTAATAATCGGTAACCATGCTTCACCGTGTAACATCCCAGGATGTCGCCCACCCATCTCCAAGTGTCACGAAACTGAACATTCACTGGGGTTGCCAATATCCTTCCTACGTCTTCCTCGTTAAAAATATCCCGAATTAGCTCAACATCCCATGTGCCAGTATCATTAAGCAGATTGTGAACGTTAGCCCCCCGCAACTCCTCCACGCAAGGCGTGCTCAGTCCCAAAGACAACGGGCCTGGTAGCCAGTTCCAGCCCCAGACTCTCGTATCCCGACCGTCTCCCACTCGTCGGGCCACACCCATCTGTAAAACATGTTGCCCCGCCATGATACTACGCCAAATGAAACTCGGATTGCCCCCCAGTTGCGCGTCCATAAATTCTGTCTCCGGATAATATCGTGCCTTGAGCAGACGGCTGACCAGTGAATCGGGATAGATTAGTAAACGCCATCCTTGTTTGGCCAGTAAAGCAATGTTAAAAACATGTAACTTGCGAAAACCCAGGCCACCTCTCGATTTAGGAGCACACATCCTGTCCCAACTTAACCAGTGTATACCCCGTCTACCTGTACCACCACCGCCCCACCAAAAACAGTTAAACATCTTTTCTAGTGCATCACAAGTGCGCATTGGAAGTAGAAATGTAGACATTGTAAAGATCGGTAGTGATTGTGCGATGCTCTTGAGAAACACTTCTTTACCTGCTCGGGATAGTAGTTTATTCTGCCAAGTGCCAAGTCTATTTCGAATATTCTCTTCAATGTATCGGAACACCGCTGTCTTGTTACGATCAAGAACCGACGGTAGACCCAGATACCGCCCCAAATCAGCCGCTTCGGGAACCCCTATGATTTCAGACACCAAGGTCCGGATCGGCGAACTCGTATTACGGCTATAAACTGCACTGGATTTCTCGAAATTGATCAGTCCATGCAACATCTTTGATTAGTCCTGGGTGGCGCATTATTGCCTCAGCAAGGGAATCCATTCATAGTTATAAGTACGTCATACGTTAGTTATAATAAATACATAATTTATTGATTAAATATAAATAATATGTTAATTGTAGGTATATAATTTAAATATCAGTAAGGAGTAAAGTTTACAATTTAAAGTAAATTATAGTCGATGGTATAACAATTGCTTGGGGGTTGGATTGACTTAAAGTATGAAAATTCATCCCAAAAGGGTGAGAAAATTAAAATGTGGAAAAGAAAAAGTTGAGTTTTACCGTTTCACGTAATCGTGAGCCCATAGGCGAGAATGAAACTTTAGGCTGTTGCCAAATTCTAAGGAGGTAGCCCACTACTGATATATCCATTAAATATAAAGACCTCTTTGGTAAAATAGTTAGTACTTAGTAGGTCAATTTTGATTTATTTAAACATTATTAATTATTTGATTTGATTTAAATATTAGTATAAGTATTTTGTTAATTAGCTTTTTGTACTTTAATCATTGTCCATCCAATCAGCTCTAAAAATTTAAAAAGCTACTCAAAATAATTTTTTTAATTAGCTTTTTGAGAAAATAAATTATACCAAACAGCTATTAGCTAATAGGTAATTTACCAAACACTTTTCTACAATTAGCTAATGTTATCAACTAGTTATACCCTCTCATTAACCCAATCAACTAACAGCTAACAATCATTTACCAAATAGCACCTCAAGTCGAGAGGAATTATTAGACAGGGACAGAGCTAACAATTTAACACTAAATGAAATTAATCAATAAGGAGATTTAACTTCTTTACCTCTACTACAATACATACATTCTTCCAATATATACATACTTAACCACCTAAACTACTTTATCTTTGAGTAATTTATATCTATATTATTTACTTATATTTAAACATTTATTATATATACAACGGTCCCCTATATATAAAAAGTGAGGTGAGATGAGGTGTGGTGAGGGAGGGGACCAATTGTCCTACTGTCCCATGTCTATGGACACGGGTCCACATTACTATGTGAACACAAATTAAAAAATGCACAATTTATATACTAAACGTTTACAATTTATTTTTTAAAAATTCAGAATTATTTAACAATTCATTTAGGATAAAACTATTGTGATATGACCAAATCGACTTGGATCAAATATTTGAATGAGGTCCCCTATTCTCCTTTCCCCTTTGCCACTTCAATTCATCAGTCATTTTCCTGCTCCCATTACTTTCGTCTACCATTTCTGTCTCCATGCCCCTTTCTCACTTTAATCATGACCAACATTAGCTCCATCGCCACGCCAATGCTTTAGCACCGCTCTTCTTCAATCATTAAAAAAAATCAGCAGAAAGAAACATGGATTATATTATATATATAGTCACCTCTAAACCCACTAGATTACATTAATCTTCACGTCAATCATTGTCACATCCAATCAGCTCTACATAAACTAACACATAAGTTTCAATAATTGCCGCAAGTAAAAACAAATGGAAGCACGTAAACAATAGTTGCAAGATAATGAACATATAATACAAAATGTGGCATTGTTTTTTTCTTTTTGATAGATTAAGTTTCCTAAATTAGCTTACGCTAAACTAATCCTAAGTCGAAGAACTCTTGTCAAACAGTTGCTGAAAAAGGTAAATTGGGCTAATTGAGAGTCTTATTAGTTCCAAGAAGGCATTGTTGGTGTCATTATAATGCTGATCTAATCGACTTTAAATCAGGTGGTCCACCAATTGAGCTAGTTTTGGTGGGCGGGTGACACTATTTTTGAATCTACAATGTTGTTGTCGTGGTGGCTGCAGGACCTTCTAGTGAAAGCTGCTTTAGCCATTCAAAGGTTCTGAGACGGCGCGACATGGATCGTTTTCTCATCACCTTTGTTGTCTCGCTGTTCTTGTCTTCATGCGGCGCCTCTTTTGCACTGGAATTTCGTCCGACCGTTCTTGGAGGGACTGTTCGGACATCGTTAACTGAGCAACTGCAAGCGCTGCCGAATAAGATGATGTTCTTGTGGGAGAATCTGTGCTTCAGATTCCGCTTAACGCTGACTCGAGCAGCGTTGGTGTTGTTGTTGTTGTTGTTGCGGCTGCCAAAGGGTTTGTGTTGTCGGATTTTGAGGTCCTGGAAATCAATTTCCGGCGTGGAAACTAGGCCGGCTCGGAAAAGGGTCCAGAGGGTAATCGACGACGACTTTCGGCTGCTGCAATTGTTGTTTATTACGTTTGCATGTGATGATGAGACAACCTTGGAGAATCGAACCTGCTGGGGAGTAGTTTGGTTTCGAATGATTGCTTGTTTCTTGCTATTGTTGGAATGAATGGTTGTCGTTGTGGTGCAGGTTGATGAACTGCCGCTGCTAGATGACCGGAGGCTTCTTAAGCTGCTACTTCTGCTACTTCTTCCACTGGTGTACCGGAAAGAATGGCAGCGGGGGGCGCCGTTGTTCTTGAAACTTCCGGCGAGAGAGCCGCCGCCGTCGGAGCTGATTGAGTGGCGGAGGGGCAAAATCTGGCCTTGAAAGAACACCTCATCAGCCGCGCACATTTCCGATTCCTTAAACGAAGAAGAACCACCCCACCAGCAAAAATCAAAGTCGTCGGCGACGACGTCTTCTTGAGATTCGCCGCCGCAGGCTCCCGGAGATTCTTTCTTGGACTGATTCTCTTCTTTATTAGGAAGATCACACAGCGACAACGCTTCTTCTTCTTCCTCCTCCTCCTCAACCTCTGTAACCTTTTCGTTTTCGACTAAATTCGAAAGCATCCATTCCTCTTCCTCACACACATTCTCTCCCATTTTCATTATTGGCAACAATATAATTCAAGAAAGATATAATCTTGCATAGACTTATAGCAGAATATAATGGAGATTGGGACAATTGGGACAAATAGAAGAAGAAAAGCTTAGAAATTATATAATAATAAAGGAGGTGAGAGGTGAGGGTATGCAGTGCAGGCCACCACTCATAATCGAAAAAAGAAATGTTCTTTTCTTGTTTGGGAGTGAAGTGAAGAGAAGTGTTGGGTTGTTTAAAGTTTAAACTGAGCGTGAAGGTCTTTACGCTTTGAAATCATTAACGTTGGAGGATGGAGAACAGAAGAACAACAACAAAAGTAGAGATCCATTTTCTTATAGTGGTTTTGTAGTGGGGACTACTAAACTACTTTTCCATTATCGTGGTCGGTCTCATCTGCATGCTACACAAATTTGCTTTATTTTTTTCTTTATATATAGGGTTATCATGGAAGTCTTGTTTCAGCAATAGGGTAAAGATTCGATTCTCACCAAAGATATGGGGTCACTGGAAGACCCAAAGTCCAAAAAATTAATCAGATGAAGACTCCTGGCCTTATGCGTTAACGTAACCTCCTCTAGTCCTCTAGGGCCTTTGGATAATGGTTCTAAGGAACTATTATTGATTTTAAAACAAAATTATTGTGTCTTATAGATCCATTTAAAGGTATTTATATAACTTAAATTACCAAACTCAGATTGAAAATGAAAATTAAACACTCGAATGAGAGATTACAAGTTGATCTTCTAAATTTAGAAAAGCAATCCTTAAAATAATATGAAAAATAGTCTTCTAAATTTGGACCAAGGATCTTTTGTATAAATGAGTTATCTAAGTTTGAGATTATACTGGATTTGAGCCGATAACTTGGATCGAATATTAGACCACATGTATCAAATTTATCGATACCCATAATAACAAGTGGTTAGCGTAAAAATATATGATTTCGAATGTATTAATAAAGTTTCAAAATTCTTCAATATATATCATGATTGGTTTGAATCTTGAAAGAGAGCTTGTGAGTTGTGAGGGACCATGCATGCCAATTGGCAATTGCTCATGCTCTTATAGCTTACCTAGTGTATAGGTAAGGCATGTCTTGATAGTGAGGAAAAGTGGATATGCCTAAATTCTAGATTCACTTACATTCAAACATATTGTTATTTAATGCTGTAAATTTTAAAGGAAAAATAGCTGCTTCTTTTTTTTTTTTTTTTTTTTTTTTTTAAATCCTATGTTTATTATAGAGTTTTCATTTTTAATCCTACATTTATAGGTAGAAATTCACTTTTAGTCCTTTTTCAAAGCATTTTATTTTTTATCCTATTATTATTGTGGCATTATCATTTGTGGTCATTTTGTCAACCAAATCATTAAAATATTGTTAAATAAAAGGACATTTTGATCCTTTTAATACAAAGTGGGTTAACCCGCTATTTTTTTTTTTAAACTACATAATTGAAGATATAAATATCCTTGTAATTTATGAAATTTAAACGATTTAGTTTATGGAAGACCAAAAATAATCACGCCACAATAATACTAAGACCAAAGTGAAATGTTCTGAAAAAAAAAAGACTAAAAATAAATTGTGACTTATAAATTTGGGACACAAAATGAAATTAACTCTTTATATATATAAAATAACAATCTCAGTTTTTCATCAATAATTAATGTAAGTATTATTTATAGACACTCTAATTTTTTATAAGGTGGCGACGTTGGTTCCTCAACAACGAAAACCATTAAAATTCATCACGTGGGGAGCGTGTTAATCAATAGTGTAATGTATGTGAAAATATAAAATGTAAAACCTACAAACTTTTTTTTTTTTGGGACAATATCAAGTCAAATTCCATTATTTTAAGACTTGGTAGATGTAGAGTTCGAATGTTATATTACTATAGTTCCTCATTGATTATAGAGCCTTTTTATAAAAGAAAATGAAAAAACGTTCTTGGTAAAACAATAATAACCATTCAATGAGGATAATTCCTTCCTCAATTGGCTAGTTTAACCAAATAAATCTCACAAGTCAAAGCATAGATTATCTTTCTTCTCAAAAGGTTGAATCTCTACCCTCAAGGTCTTCCCTGCCCTAACCAGACAAAGCATCTAGAATGATGTAAATTATGCTAACTCAGCTGAATCGCAGATGTCAGACCTTTATTTACTGCGCACAAAGGAACCCCCTCATTTTCGAGCTCATTTTGATTATCTTTCATTCCACCCTTGTTCGTCAGATTATCGAGCTTATTTTGATGAGCAATCTCTCCTAACAGCTTATTTCATAAGCAATACAATACACACACTAAAAAAGTCCAAAGTTGAGAACAAGTAGTAGCTCCAGTCCAACGAGAGGTATTTGATGAGTGATGAGGAAGACGTTGGTTGCAAGAAATTCATAAAACATTTCACTGACAATCATATTTAACAATTATATAGAAGTAACATAGGATATATGTGTCTTAATTATTCGTTAAATACCCGCAAAGATAAACACAATATATAGTATAATTAAGGATCAAATGAAATAAATAGATAAGAGACACATGAAATGAAATAAGATATTTCATTTTATTTCAAAAATTCCGAATTGTCTTCTAATAAATGTGATTCTCACTTAATTAAAATATCATTACTTGTATCTAGCCAAACATATTTTTGTTTTAAACAATTAAACGAGTTGAAACATTAGTCCAACACAAAGTTCTTAGTACTCCAAACATGGTACATTCGGCATTGGGCTTTGTGAAAATTTTTGCTCCTTGGAGCCTTGATATTGTCGTCAAGACAAAATCACTTATGCACTAAAACAACGATACATTAGGCCCAGTAGATAGTACTATTAATATGGTAAAATATAATGCTATATTGCATTGACCTTTTTGGCTATATCTTCATACTTTGTATTTCTGTTGTCCAATATATGCAATTTAATACTATTAGAAATATTGAATTCTTTAAAAAAAAAAAGAAAAAAAAAAGGGATTTTTGAACCACCCTGACAATCCAGTTAAGCTGATTTAATAATCACAAGGTTTTAAGTTTGAATATTTGTGGAAGCGGTTTATTACCTTTCTTAGTTTGACCCGATCATCTAAGGGCAACCTAGATTGGTTTACGTCTTTGTTCGTAGTTCTTTATCAGTTAGGGTCATAAAGTATGCTTCACCAATAACACATATTTGGGTAGCGGCTGCGAGATTTTCAAGCTATTAAATTGGGAGATCGGTTCCACTTGGAGAGACAAAAGACTCGTGAAGTGTCCCTTCAACTATCCCATAAATCGAGTAAACTCAGTGTAAATATGTGACACAATCGACCTAATTAACCTATAGGTAAGCGCTACGTGTCTTTGCAGGCAAGAATCCCAACACATGTTCCTTCACCAAGTATCATAAAAGTCAGTTGACCCCTTGGAGAAAGGGGTTTTCAGTAACCAATACTGTCTTACTATTATTCGACCTGTTTAGAGTTATCCAACTTGAAACCTCTAACAAATCTTTATGTAATAAGATCTCAATATATAAAGAATACAATGTCTTATAAGATCTCAATATATAAAGAATACAATGTCTTAATTCAATAGCTCAAGTGTACAAGTCCACCCATCTTCAATGTCGATAATTTTAATCCATAACCTTCTCATTTGTTCAATCAATCGAACACCTTATTTAGAGATCCAACCTAAACTCAATGACATACCCATATACCCCATCAACCTAAAAAAAAAAGAAGAGAAAACTGGCCCCTCAATTGTTTTACTTTTAAAAATTTAACCCTTATTAATTAATTTGAACAAATATAATCCTTTAATTGTTCATAATGTAGCACATGTGGTCTCTCATGTTATATAATTAGAATTATTTTTAATAATGTATATAATTTATTTATTCAAAATTAAAAATATTTTTATTATAAATAAATACATAAATTAAAAAAAAAAAAAAAAAAAAAAACCGCCACCGACTGTCCGATCTTCTTCACGGACAGCCATGGTTGTCCGGCAAGACGGCCACGGCCGTCTAAGGAAGACGGCCATGACCGACGAAGGAAGACGGCCATGGCCATCTTCTAGATCTGGAACGAGGGCTACGACCTTCGCCGCCGCCCTCGTTCCAGTCGGGAAGACAGCCATGGCCGTCTCCGTGAAGAAGACAGGCACCGGCTGTCCGCGACAGTTCTTCTTCTTTATTTTTTTTTTGTTTTTTTTTTTTTTAAATTTATGTATGTATTTATTTATTTATTTATAATAGAAAATATTTTTGATTTTGAATAAATAAATTATTAAAAATAATTCTAATTATATAACATGAGGGACCAAATGTGCTACATTATGAACAATTAAAGGGTTAGGTTTGTTTAAATCAATTGATAGGGGCTAAATTTCCAAAAATAAAACAATTGAGGGGCCAAAAACGTTGTTTTCCCAACAAAAAAAAAAAAAAAAAAATTAAAAGTAGCAATTACACTATCGAATTGTACTAAACATACTATTTGTAGGGAAACATACTATTTTTTGCTTATTTTATTTAGCAAGATCCGATATTTATCAAAGGAATTTAGGAGACATCAAGTCTAAATGTCAAATCTTGGGTAAATTTTGGTAGATTTGCACGCATGCATTTGAATGAAACGATGCTCAATCAAATAGCGTTAAACAGTCATTTTATCACCCCTAAAAGATAGCTGAGTTGGTAAAATATAATTATCCTTCGTATAAAGAGATCATAAGTTTAATTATTGTCAACACTCGCTTAATTATATCCATAGCATAATTTCTTGGTCTGATTTATTTCAATTGTGACTATTACATAGTAGAATAATACTCCGTATCTGCAAACTTTTTTCATGACCTAAAAATGCATGTCATTTTTTTCCCCACCGAAAAAATACATAAAGGCATATAAGCAACAGTGGTTTTAAGAGTTTGAATCCCATTACTAATATTATTGCGTTTCGTTTCAACTCCAAAATGCCAATTATCCATCACTACACAA